TTTTTTTTTTTTTTTTTTTTTTTTTTTCTTTCTCTCATGCTTGTCAGCCGGCAGTGACTTGAATTCGCTGAGTTCACTGACAGCAGAGCGATCAGCGATCCCGCTCGTGGAAAGGGAAGCTCGCTGTTCTTCCAGTTTTGATTTTCCTCATTGATTCTCGAGGGTAACCCTGTGGGCGATAAACGGGTGTAGTGGGTCATGAGGTTGAGCCACAGCTGCAACATGAAGCCCCTAACAGAGCCTTCAGTATTCTCATAAGTGTACGGCGTTCGTGTCTGCGAGCTCGTGTGAATCTGACCTTGGACCGACTCTGTTACAGCGTTGTAGTTTTTATGTGAAAAGAAGAAACGTTGCATTTCTCGGTGAACGGGGTCTGACCTCTTCAGGTTCGTCCATTTGTGTTTTTGGCAGTCAAAGTACTTAAACTCAGGTGAGAGTACTTCCTGCCAGTTTACTAGTATTTTACTTGCAGGTGTGGGTACTCGCAGGATGTGGATGTACTGTTAAACTCTTTGATCTTTTCCACGTTTTTATTGAGCAGTATTGATTGATCGGGACACGGCAGGCGTCTTTTTGTTGCTGATGATAATCACGTGACGGTTTATTATTATTATTATTATTATTATTATTATTTTTTAATAATTTGTTAAAGTCAGTTTTTAGCGTTGTTGGGCTCCAGAGGACCAAAATTCATCATCAGCACAAAGGAGCCCAACCCCCCCTCCCCTCCCGTCTAGATCGCTCACTGTGTACAAATCTATTGATTATGTAATTCCTACAAAATAAAATGTAATAAAAGTTAAAAAAAGAGAAACAGAAGGTGGAGGCAATTGAGCATCTTGTACTGGAAGAAAGTTAATAAAGAAACTAATGATACATGTTGCAGTTTCCGTCTGTTTCTGCTGGAATGTGTCGGCTTGTTTTCAGAAACAGGAAGTCTGCCGTCCTCACAGGGGGGGTTATCTATAGAGACCAAACAGGTTGTATGGAAACAAACTCAAAAGCTTTAACATGGGAGTCTATGGGGACTGGCTCACTGCTGCCTCTGCTGGACACCAGAGGAACTGCAGGTAGGAGCTGCTGTTGTTCGGTCTTTAACGCCGAAACACTCGTTTTTGAAACATCCTACAGGTATCCACCTTCTCAGAGTAAGAGCCATAAAAATGTGGATGATTGTGAATAATAAGCTGGAATAGTTTGGGACCTTTTATTTTCAAAGTTTTTAGAATTCATCTTACTGTGATCGATTTCTTTAACAGCTGATGCAAAGATGTATCTGTTTTGAATTTCAGTTCATGAAGCAGAAGAAACAGTTGCTATGAAAAGGATGTGAAGGTGTTTTAAAAATAGTTTTTACTGCCTTTGGTTGATATTTGAGAATAAAGACGTTTTGTTTGAGTAACGCAGAAGTTTGTGAGCACAGACATTAATTTCAGACACTTTTTGGGTTTTGTTGCATTTTATTTGTTGAAGCGGCACAGAGAAGACCTGCAAGCACAGCAGTAAAGTTTCACCAGCATAAGCCAAGAAAATGCTTCCCCTCACAAACCCTCCGTCTTTAGACCGCCTGTGGTTTCCTGTGAAGCAGGAAACTGGTGTGATGTGAAGGTGAGAAGCGATCTTCAGGTGGAGGTGTGCACTCGCCCAGCATGCAGGAAGGTGAAGAAAGGTGGAGATCCGACTCCAACCCCGGGCAGGCAGACACGTGATTGACCTCAGATGGTTTCCTCCACAACCTTTGTGATGATTGTTTTGGTTGTGGTGGAGGTAGAGGAGGAGAGCGAAGATCTGTGTGGGAAATGAGACAAAGCTGGTCAGAGATGCTCGTCTGAAAAGCAGAACCCGCTCACATGTTTACAGGTAGGTGCTGTAGTGCAATTCCCGAGTTTCCAACATCAGTTGACCAAAATGAGCAGAAACATCTACAAACTGAAGTAAAAACGAGTGCCAGACCGTGGTTTTGTGTAATGCCAGTTTGCACCACAAGAGGGCAGAAAGAGGCAGTGCAGCTTTCTGTGACCAGCAGGAGAGGAAGAGGAACATGAACGTGAGTTTGGACACTGTCAGGCTCCTTAGATAAACACTCTTTTTCTTCTAAGCTAACGAGCAGCTTAAATTCTGCAACAGTGAACAGTGTGGTGAACAGTTTACTTACATTTTACACAACGTACCATTAAAGGTACATTGATCAGGACTTCACAGATTGAACTAATGTTAGCAGCCGATGGTAACACTAAAACTAAGGATATTTCCTCTGTATATTTTAGTTTTCCAAGTAACCTCTGTAAGGAGGAGAGAGCAGGGCCACAGAGAGGCCGTCCTGGTGAGCTCTTCTTACCCGCCTCCTTGTCCGTCGAGCAGCCTCCTGTACTCGGCAATCTCCAGCTCTAGTCTGGTCTTGATGTCCAGGAGAATCTGGTACTCCTGTGCCTGCCTCTCCAGGTCTGCTCTGAGCTGCACCAGCTGCTCCTCCAGACTGCTCACCCGCATCTGGAATCCTTCCATCTTCATGCCGTAGCTGCCCTGGACTTCGGCGAGTTGGGCTTCAAGGGACATTTTCTGTAAAAACACGAGCAGGTCAGAGACAGAAGCTCTACCTGTGGATGAGGTCGTGACGTTGGGCTACATTTCAGCCACCTCTCTGCAACTCAGGATTTTAGGAATCGGAGAAAACGAGGCCACGAGG